ACTCTTACTAGGATTCAGGAATTATTTTTGCAGCTCAATGTCTATTACAGTATACATAAATGAAATTACAGATATAGATGAATAGTTCAGCAATGAACTTTTGGGAAAAAATCATTTTCATTTTATTACTGTAATCTTGCAGTAGATGAAAAGCACTAGAAAAGTTCAAAAACCCAAAGAATTGTATGAACTTGGCATGCACCACAATACAGTACAGTAAAAATAAAATTTAAAAAAGTAAATTTAGTATCCTCTGCACATTTGGCCAAATGTCATTACAGTATACAGTACTATAGCCGTTTCTTGGTCTCCTGACAGAAGACTAGCTATATCTCTAGGCAGTCATTTCTCAGTTCTGCAAAAATGCAGTACACATAAAAAATGGTTACAAATAAAATTTGACAGTCACACGCTGTGGTGTACAACATGTGCTACAGTTTACTGTACATATAGAACAGTGAATTTTCCATTATCTAATGTACTGGTACTGTACTGTAATTATACTGTATGTGTAGGCCCAAGTATAAAACCCCTGTAGATGATTGGCTTAGCTCTCCTCTCTCCGTTGTTAGCACGCAGAGATTCTGATTGGTGTGTCATCAGTTTTGCTACCTAATGTTTCATTTACTCATTGTTACACTTTTTGAGAAATGTGTCCGTTTTGAAAACTGAATTTTCAAAGGGGGGGGGGCAACTAAAATCAGTTATATTAACAATCGATAAAACTGCAATAAGACTAGATTCTTACCTAACTCTGCTATTAGTTTCCGTGATCGGCATCTTCTTATGGATTTCATGTTATTGTTACGGCTTATATCCATGATGAAAGTGGAGCGAGCGGTCGGAGAATCGGATAACCGAACAATTACGCGATGAATCCCAGATATCCCCAGACGGGATTAGATTTCTCAGAGGACTTCTGAGTTACCTGAAAAGCAGTAATTATCCGATTCACGAACAAATGTAAAAACAATGTGTTAGTGAACTGGGCCGTGCTATGTGGTTTTGACTCAAAAAGAACCGGTTCATAAGAGTCATTTATTAATGAAGCCGACTACACTGGCACGCTGCGTGCACGTGCAACCATCCTGCACAGTTTATTAAAAGACGTGTTTTTGCCATTATTTAGCGCTACTCTGTCATCGCCGCGGCTGAAAAGTAGCACATGAAACACTGCTTACATATATATTTTATTCTGTGATAATTCCGGTAGATCCGCCCCTGATCAGCTGCGTCGGGTCCCGCGGGAGTGCAGGTCTCTAATCCACTGGCACTGGACACTGTAGAATTGATGCATTGCTCTCCACGCCCGGTTCTTTCTCCAGAAGTTTTGCCGTGGCGTGCTGCCCTTTCAGCGGTTTTAAATTGGATGTGGAATTTTTCGCGGCTGTTTCTGTCTGCAATGGTGTAACGCAGCGGTAACGCACAGAGACTTCGGCTTGGAACTAATCTAATTACTAGTTTGGAAATTATAACGCGTCCAATTACTCCGTTACTAAAAAAACGTAAAAGGGACTCAAATCAAAAAGGTTCAAACATTCACTGATGCTCCAGAACAAGGGTGTCAAACTCCGTTCCTGGCGTTCCTGGACCCTGCACAGTTTAGATATAACCCTAATTAAAATTAAAAACTTTTTGTATTTTAAGATCAAGGTAAATTGTACTTAATTTGTCTTCTGGGAAACATGCAAGTATCTTCTGTTGCTTCTGAAGGGCAGTGCTAAATGGGGAAAAAAAAGATATTTCAACAAAATAAGAAAAATTTGGGCATCTTCATCCTGTTCAAAAGTTTTCGGCTCTTAATGCATCGTGTTTCCTTCTGGAGCATCAGTGAATGTTTGAACCTTTTTTAATAGTTGTGTTTGAGTCCCTCAATTGTCCTCAGTGTGAAAAAATTGACCTCAGTCATACAGTCACTGCTGGAAAGGGTTCAAATATGCAAAAGATGCTGGAAAACTGAAGAATCTGCAGGACATGGGAGGATTTTTCTGAAGAACAGTGCTCAGTTTAACTGTTCAGGACAAACAAGGGACTCATGAACAACCATCACAAAACCAAAACAAAACAAAAAAACAGTTGTGGATCATCCAGGTAACCACACATAGTATTAAGAACCAAGGGTTCCCAAACTTTTGAAGGGGGTTATTTTAATAATTTCAGCTATTTTTTTGTCTTGTGGACTATATGTAAAAATCT